ACCGATATAAGGGATTAACTACTGGCCTTAGGAAATGTGACCTTTAGGATAAGTTACTGCTGCCTCTTCNCGGGTGGGATTTCTAGGTCTAGGAGTGTTGTAAATTCATTTGAAATTTACTGAAGCACCGATATAAGGGATTAACTACTGGCCTTAGGAAATGTGACCTTTAGGATAAGTTACTGCTGCCTCTTCAATGCCTGTAGTTTCTACATGGATGCACGATGACAGATTTCCACTAACATTTGTGTAATCCTTTCTCCATGTTGTTTGAACGTGTGATTTCAGTTCACCATACCTCATGATATAACTTTTTAGGCTTTGGTCCATTGAGAGTTTCAAGTTTTATGTAGATATGTGATAATTATTGGTTGCGTCACTGACTGACTGGTGTGTGACTGTTGAAACGTGATCAAATTATTTCAGCTTTTCTCAAGTAACAGCAATATTGTGCTTTCCAGGTTGAGGATAACATCTGCAAGTTTGCAAAGAAAGGTTTGACACCTTCTCAAATTGGTGTTATTCTTCGTGATTCTCATGGAATTGCTCAAGTGAAAAGTGTCACCGGTAGCAAGATTCTCAGAATCCTGAAGGCTCATGGTACTCATTTTTCTTTTTTGTGTATCTAAGTTGTTCCTTGATATAAGTTTTCTAAAGGAATACTTGTTTAACCTATTAATGTTTCCTATCAGGACTTGCTCCTGAGATTCCCGAGGATCTCTACCACCTTATCAAGAAAGCAGTGGCCATCAGGAAGCATCTTGAAAGAAACAGGAAAGACAAGGATTCCAAGTTTAGATTGATTCTCGTCGAGAGCAGGATTCATCGACTTGCTCGCTACTATAAGAAAACAAAAAAGCTTCCACCAGTCTGGAAGTAGTAAGTTCATTCTTGTGTATTTTATTTTAGCGATGAACTGCTTGTGATTTAATCATCTAGAACACATTTTATTTTGGTTTTGTATGTGTTATATGTGTGCAAGTTGAAATTTTGTTTCAAAATATCTTGTTTTCCCTGGGATGTTAAATACTTGTCATAGGAAAATTTATTAGCTAAATTAATTCTACCTGGAGGCTCTCTGTGGTTCCACCAAATGTGCTATGTAGGTCTATGAATGAAGTGGTGGATTAATTTTAGTTCGGGACTTGTATTATTTGATTTAATAAATTTGTTACTGCTTTTATGCATCCCTTACCTTTTGGCATTGCCTTGATGTGCAAAATACCCAACATTGCGCTCGTATAGATCTTTTACGATGGTCACTAGTGAGGTGCATACCTTGTAAAGTTTTACTTGCAGCTCTCTGTGTGCACAATGTGGTCGAGTGTGTTATAGTTGCTTTGGGTTATATCAGATGAGTTTTATTAACGCCCCCCACTTTAGCCCTTTTTACTTCCTGCATTTCGTATAATTCTACAAAATCTAGTGAATTGCATTACTAAGGTCAATTTTTGCCTTGCAGTGAATCAACCACCGCCAGTACTCTTGTGGCTTAGAGAAGTCATGGCACGGGATTACTAGTTTCTTGGTTAAGTCCCATCTTCAAAATTATAGACTAAGTTGTTTTTGTATGGGCGAGTTTGAATGGAACAAATTTTGTTTTGAGAGATGATAAGGGAACATTTCCAGCTTTAAATTGGCATCCGATTCTCTTAGTACTTCTGGTATATTTATGTTTAGCTAGTGTTTTTCATTTTCCGTCTCATCAATGCTTTGCAAGTACGGCTACATAGTAATTCTACCACATGCTACTAATTGATGAACCTTGTGTAAACCTGAATAGAATTTGAATTATGCTTAGCGAGATAACTAGTTGCTCTTTATCTTGTCCTAAACAAATGGAATGTCGTCAAACTTGGCACTACGTACACAGCTGGTAGTCGGTTGGATGGTTGGACTTGCTCATTAGCATTCGAATACCTCTATGAATATTTGGATTCTGTCTCTGGTTCTCGCCTATGGATCGGTGCTTGGACCTCGACTACTAAGAAGAGCTAAAGGAGGTGAAGGAAGAAATAGTACGCCTTTCTATCAGGGACTATGTTGAGGGTAGAGTGATCTTAATTGTTCAATCACATCCCTAGGTGGTTCAATGTGGATTGGACTCGCTAGTTTTGAATTATTTGCAGGGTTATTTTCTCCCTGTCACGGAATGCCGTGTCTTCCTTTGATTTGTTAGCAGAAACAAATCTCATCAAAATACTTGGCAACTCAATTGAACTCTCAATTGCCGAGTGATGGCGGGATTCTCACTGTTAAAATGTCTGTTAGACCAGTTTGTTCGCAATAGTTTGTGTATTATAAGAGCCAATCCATTTTAATCTGAAATAGTTCAAGGATCTCGGATTTGTATAACCGTTCTTGCAAATCCTCCAACCTCACCAGTAGCGATGAATCTTGTGAACATATAACTTAACATAAAATCTCGTATAATTAATACAATGTTTGATTGCAACATAAAACACAAAGCTAATACTATAAAATATTCACGTAATTAATATAAATGGTGGTTTTTGGCATTATAATTAATGTAACATTGGATTTCTTATATTTGTTATGAATAGTTTGTACATTGGATACTACTTTGAATGCTACATTGGATGCCCATGTTGTGAATAACTTAAAGATTAAATTTCCTACTTTATGTCCATCATCTTTACTTTTTACGCCTATAAAAGGCCATGTAATTGCAATGGAAAAATACACCAAAGTGAAAGAAGAAAACACTTCTCCCTTCTTTCTTTCTCTTCTTATTTACATTTTACTGCATTACTTTTATTTTATAACACGTTATCAGCACGAAGCTCTAATTTTATTCTTAACTCCCGCTAAGTTGAGCCATATTTTATTAAGGTATGTATCATTATAATCATCTTATTTATGGCAGTACATATCATATGCTCACTGTTTGCAGATTACTTGTGCGCTTGGGCATCTTAAATAGTTTAAGTACATTGCAGTGATTAAATAACTATTTCCTTTCGTGCTCAACTCTTAGAGGACCTCAAAGTCATCAAACTAGTTATGCACTAATGTCATGGACTCCCTGGATCAAAATATATCTTTAAGACATTTTGAAGAAAATGAATTGACAAGCAATAATTTTTTAATTACTTTATATTTATTGGAACATATAAATAATG